CATAGACAGGTAAGAAACAAACTTTACAAATTTCATCACTGAATGTGATAATGAAACACATGCACAGCTTCGAGCAGCTCCAAAATTTCCAGCCCATGTTTTCTGTTATAAAAGTGAGAAACTGAAGATTTTGCAGGTATTACCCATAAACCCTGGAGGTGCTGTGCACTTGGTGGGTGATACCATTATTTTTAATTCCCAGGGTCCAGTGACTGGCAGTAATAAGACAAGTAGTAGTAGTAGTAATTGGTGTGATGCCATAAACTACATTGTTTACAACACCAATACATGATGACCACCACACTGTAAGGCATTTATGTACTTCAACATTGCTAATGTGTTATGTCATTTTACAACATATCATTTTCAAAGCAAGCATTGAAAAAATACTGTAAAGGGGGTAATTATTCACTGGGTTTTAATTTAGCTTATTTCGCTGACTGGAAAAATGCGCTAAATTAAAACACAGTGAATATGTAATATTTAGCATAGAACAAATTATCCAAATAACGAAACCGTGAATTTAAAACCCACTGAATATGCCTGAAATGGTAAATCAGTGAAATTTAAACCCAGTGAAAATTAGTCATTTTACAGTAGCCAGGGTATTCTTGAACACATCAGTAATAAATAACATCCCTCTTGAATACATGGACATGCAATGATATGCAATTCTCAATCATTTATTCAAGACAACTGTGAATATAATATCAATACAGACAAGACAAGTAATTATAAATGAATATATATTTCTGTTAATAGCCAATTAGTCCTACATACAATAATACTGATATAACAATGTATCTAATACATACAAATAGTATCAAAGTAAAATTCCACTCTTCTATTATTACTGGCATGGTATGTAGCGTAAATAACAGTTTACATCCTAGCAGTAAACACACACACACACACAATATAAAAATTTGCAATTGGCACAATATTTCCAAATTTGGGCATATACAGATTTAATCTACAGCATTCCAATATTTGAATAACTGATGCTATTTAAGGTAAAATGAAAAAAACAGGACCATATAGGGTATATAGGATGAGAATTGCTCCTACATATGAAGTCATATGTAGCTGCCATATAAGGTATAT